AATAAAAGCGTTAAAGCTGTATTTTCGTCGAACGATTCTTAAAGCTCAATACCATGAAATTTTGTCGGCTGTCCGGGATGTTCTTTATACGTCACGTCAAAATCATCGTTCTGAAAGCGTTCAAACAAAATGGAATTTCACCGGAATACATTTGGAATTATAAGCGAAGCATTTCAGCTGCGGTTTTTTTTCAGATCGAAATAGGAAAGAACAAACACATAAATATAATCCGCGAAGAATTAATATTACAAACACATAAATATAATCCGCGAAGAATTAATATTACAAATTAACAAGAGACATTATATTGTAATAAGCTAATTGAAAAAATATTATTTACGTCTAATTATAGTGTATATAAACGACAAGACAGATAATACATTGACGACATTTGGATCGGATCGAGTATCTAGGGACTGAAACGAGATCGATGACGCGAATACGATACTCGCGAGGATAATAATGTCCTTCCCAAAGGATTAAAATGTTCACGGGGGCAGATGTGTAATTAATCGTCTGATAATTAAAGGAGATTACAAACACGACGATCCGGTATTACGTTTGAACGAAAGATCGTATGCGATCGACTTTTTGATGGATAAAAACAGAGAATAAAAGAAGAACGATAACGAGATCCTTCATCCTATAACTTCATGAGTTCAAATTTATAATTTTTGATTTATCAACTAATCATTGTTAATATTAAGCGCTGCACGATACGCAAAAAGAAATAAAAAACATATGGAAAAGTCTAAAACAAAAGCTGATTGTCTCGATCTTAATACGTGCATCGATAACGATTCGCGGTTACTAAAATCTTTTTTCTTTTGGAGTATACATCTGGCGAATTGACGTAAACAGAAAAATAGAAAAGGGTATAAATCGATATAGATAGATAGCAAGAGAAGAAAATGAGAGCAAAAAGAGGGAGGCAGCCAGCAGGTTTACCGATGTGGTTTTTACTTCATTCTGCTTCCACCCTCTTCGTCGACGTAACTCACTCGTAAAACGTTGACCAGAGAATGTGTAAAGTGGAATACATGTATTGTGGATAAAAATAGCCTATCGTTTGAAAAGAGAAACAGAGAAAGAAAGAAAGAAAGAAAGTGTGAAAGATAGAGAAAGATGGCAAAGCGAAACAAATAAAAGGGAAGAAGAGAATGTCACAGAATGCAAATCAGTGAAGGGAAAAAGACACACACAGTTCGTGACCACTAGGATTGTAACCCTCTCTCGATCGAAATTCAACGCGTAAAATTTCACAGATGAAAGGGCTGGGAACCAGATACTTTTTTTTTACTCCCACTCCAACTCATTTCCTTTCGATACTTTGAGGAATCGTTCGATCTATACCTATACGCGGACCTATTTTTATCTTCGAAGGACTCAATCATAGAATCAACTTTCCTAATAGCTCTTCGAATGTTTTAATTACCGCTATTATTCTTCTTGTCGTTTACAGCAACTAACATCTGCAGAATTTGTATATGTCGAAAACTTGATAATTAATAGACAAAAAATGAAGTAAACGTGATGTGTTGCTATCATTTATCCAAGTTATTAAAAATTAAAATAACAAAATTTTTAATAACTTGGATAAATGATTTAGAAAAAGACAATAATGAAATAATGGATATAGCTAAAGTTTTCTTACCTCTACAATGTATCGAGGGGATCCCGTAGAAAAACTTTTTAATGGGACCAACTTACGACGCTATGGGATTTAGAAGTTGGTCATCTTATTGCTTATCGTACAAAACACAATTAGTTTTTTATTATTGGATTAATAATAACTGATATAACAAAACTTATACATCAATGTGATATTATTTTTTTGTCCATTTAGAGAATATTAAATGATCATTAAAAAATTGTTCCATGGAATCCTCTCTATACGCTCCTGAAGTAGTACTAGAATCTTTAGGGACACTTTATAAGTACACGAAACGTAAATGTTTTTGCAAAAAGTATTTCAAATTTTGATAAAGTGAATTCACGACGAAAGATAAGTAAATAGAGCTCTTTACTTTTCAATGATGAAACGTAAACTAGGAAAAACGGTCTAAACGAGGCTGGATGCTTAAAGGGCTACCAGAAAGGGGTTGGAAAACAGAAGTTTCTGTGTTATCGATCGCTAGATGGTAACTTTCAATGAGTCAGCCAAGGTCAAGCCATTAGACGGAGTCATATAATCTCTTTTTTTTTCTCCTTCTTCGTTTTCTTCTTTCCTTGACTAGAAAATACTGAAAAGTAGCTTAAGAAGTTATCGATCTTACCAAAAGACTTCTAAAGTTTACAAATTTCCGGATCTTAAACTTATAATCTTTCTGATTTAGACATATTTTCGATATTTTTCATTCGTGAATTCTTATTAAAATGTTCATCAATTTGTTGCTCGATCCAAAATAAATTTTACCAAAAACTTCTTGAAAACTTATTGGAAGTTTATTATTTCAATTATTTTTAACGTTTCTTTAGAAGTACCGAATATATTTCATTTTAATATAAATTAATAGGCAAAGAATTTCAATTTATAATTTTTATAAAATACCCTTGGTCTTTTATTTAACAATTGCATACATTTATACAATATATCATGAAATTTGTTATTTAAATTATTTCAAAACTTTGATCGTAAAAAAAAAATACTAATAAAAAGCAAGAGAATTTAAATAGTAATCGGAATAATACTGATTCCTAAGATATACAAATTTGACTTGATTTTATGTTATTTTATTGTTAATTTATTACAGATTTTTCTTTTTTAGTTTCTTTTCAATTTGTAATGTATTGTACTCCATGTAATGCTGATAGACGAACTGTTCCTACTATAAAAAAAAAAAATTTAGTTCACCAAATTTCGATTGCACATAAAAATTTGCAAAAAGCATGGAAATATAATATTTTCCTATGGAAATTAAAAAAAAAATAAATAAATAACCTTCATAAAACTCCTTGTTTAAATAATTCTGCCTTGTTTGAAAAAAAAAAATTGTGCATAAACATGCAAAATGTAAATATAAAATGTAAAAAGGAAAAAAAAACAATTTTAATCTTTCTTTCATTACATAATTTATTAACATATAATGTAAAATTCATGTGAAATTTCTTTTTTGAAAACTCTGGCATGCTACTCTCTTTATACATATATAAAGCTGTGACGTACATACGTATGTATATAGATTTGAATAAATAAAACGTAGCAGTTTATCTTTAATACGAAATAGGTGGAATCCCCTATAAACATCTATCATGGTTCCGAAACGTTAGACGGTTACTGGCTAACAGACGTGCTTGCTTTCTGACCGTATGTACCTATAGCTCACATATTATCGACACATATAAATAATGCACATGATCGATCGATCACGATGTAAATATAATTTCGAAGGCGAACGAAGTACTTTTCAAAGTTTATTTTAGAATACCAATAGTCCGAATACGTCTTCGTCATTAAATATATTCGCGAGGCTTTTATATTATCACCGAAAGGTGTTAAAAAGAATCAGTACTGCATTTAACGTATGGCGTTCCAGACTCAAGCTAAGCTCTCGCAATATAAACGAATAGTAAAGTTTTATTCATAGAAAAATATCATGTGTGCAGATCACACAAGTTAGAAGTGAAACCTTCATAAAGCAAGTTTCGAGAGAATGAGACGAGTGCATATTATCAGGAATAAGATAATTTATTATATTACTATATTTCTACAGTAAGTTATATTATTTTTATTGGAAATATAATAGCAAAAGTATGATGTATTTTTTTAAAGAACTTGCCATTTTTCTTCTATTTTATTGAAAAATTAGTATAAATTCCTTGAATACGCAAATTAATAATATAATTTTCTTATATGCCAGAGTCGATACATGTCTTTGGATATTTATAATAAAAACATATAAAAAATAAATTCAATAAACATATTTAGAATTGCATGAATCAAATACATTTTATAAATAAACAAACCAAAAATGTGACAATAATTTATTTGCTTTTAAACGGAATTTTTCAGCTGCTTCTAACACTTCCAGTGTTGTCTAATTCTTCCTCTCTGATATATCTTGTAATAATTTTCTTTGTAAAATATTGCAAACAATATAATTATTATATTCTATGTAATTTATAATTATTAATTATAATTTGTGTGTAATAAAGAATTTTATACTAATTTTTCAATAAAATAGAAACATTTTTAAATAGAAAAAATATTAAAAATTCTGTAAAAAAAAAATACACTACACTTTCTATTATATTTCCAATAAAAATAATATAACATGCTGTAGAAATATAGAAAAAAAAATAAAATTAAACAACGAAAGTGAGAAATACAAAAAATCAAAAGAAAGTCAACCGATGAGACTCCATCCAACGATTTATCGGTTATGAGTTTGAGCTCATAACCGATAATGAACCCATATAAATTTATACAGTTTTATAAACGTCTTAAAAATACAAGCTCTGAGTCCTCTGTGAAATAATATGAGTCTACGTTTCGTAATATGCAATCGCACACAAACACACACATATACAACGCTTAGTAGCCAGGAGTGGGGATTACGAAGCATCGCACAAAGAGGAGACCGAGAATAGGAAAAATTGTATAACTTTATTCTGTCTCATTCTCTTGTAGGCTCAATCCTGTATGTTTGTCTCTTTTTCTCTTATTAGTGACGTAGAGCTCAGTAATTTTTTCGTTTCATCGTTTCATCGTTTCATCCGTTTTCAAATCACCTTGATTCTAAAAAAGTTTTTACTTCAAAAATAACAAAAAGAGACAAAATTCTTATAAATTTAATTAAAATGTAGACTCTTGTCCCGATAAAAAGGATTTACCTCGAAAATAGATAAACATTGTTATCATAATAGCGACAACATTCACTTCCTTAGTTCTCTAGAAGCACTTATCCCTACATCGTTTTTTACATTGACGATTCTACCATGATTCTTCATTATCATTTTCGAAGAGAAGGATGATAAGGATATCTCGAGTATCGACTTACCAGGTGCAAAGTTGACAGGCTTCTCCTTGAACCCGAGACAACTAACGTAGAATTGACCCAGCTTCTCGAATACACCAACCATTCGATCAGTTTCGTTTAATAACATTTCTGAAATTAAAAGAACAAAATCAAACAAATTCAGTTAATCAAATCCAATTTTATTCTTCTCAATGTAACAATAAAAAGTAATCAATCAAAATTATGACAATATTATCGCGATTAATAAGAATTAATTTTAGTCATCATTGTCATTTCATTACACATTTTTCGAAATTTAACTGCAGTTGTTCTGAAAATAATAATGATTTCGAAAAATGAATGCTATAACAATCGAGTTTGGTCTCTCGTTTGCTAACGAACCAATTAAAAAGAATTAAATTAAATAATTGATTGACGTATATGAATTCGTATACTATATTTCTATCTCTTTGCCTTTTTGTTTTTATTTTTTATTTTTATTGACTATTCGAAGGATTTGAAAATATTCCAATAAACTCTTTAATCCATACATTGTACATGGAATAATAATGAAAGTAGTACTTAGGTATGCATTGTGACGAAAGCCACTTGAAAAAAAAACTTTTTTGAAAAATAGTTCATAAGGACAAGCAATGATGTGTAAAATGAAAGAGCACGAATAAAACAAAAGTTTATTGTACTTGAAATGTTGCTTCGATAAGAGAAAAAGGAAAAGAAGAAAAAGAAGGAACTTTTACAAAGTTTGACTGAAGAGTAATAATAAAAGGTAGTCGACAGAAACATATTTTTTCGAAAGATCGTTAGATTGTTTCTCCTAGCTTTTCAAACATGGAATATGTGGAACACAGTGACTTATCATAGGACATTAAGAATATAACATACACACGTATACGTTTTTATATAGATATTCTAGTCCTAGTGCAACGTATATCGATTAACATGAATTATTTATAGTACGGACAAGCGAAAGTACTCGATTCGTTTTTTAGCCCCGGTGTACTTGATGCACTTGCTATGCTTCTTAAATCTCACTTCTCGACAGACTCATCAATTTATTCGTCTGCAACTGCTATACTATGCTACCCTATGCTTTGCTATGCTCTTCTATTTTCTACCTACGAATTTTTCATTTCCTTCCTATCCGTCTTCTTCTTCTTCTTCTTCTTCTTCTTCTTCTTCTTCTTCTTCTTCTTCTTCTTCTTCTTCTTCTTCTTCTTCTTCTTCTTCTTCTTCTTCT